CTGCATGTATTTTTAAACAAAGAGGCCGATATCTGTCTGCCTACCTACCTATCTTTCTATTTCTATCCATTTTGATCTGTATATCGATTTAGAAAACTCTAAATGGAGTTGATTTTTTTCGTATATTCAATAGATGTCCACGAGTATGTGTTGAGGAAAGATTGGAGATATTTCTATATGGATGGTCCAGGCTGTTATATCTCTGGTAATTAATGGATAGTTAGACATCACAGCTAAACCAATTCATATCTTATTTTGGATTCTGGTTTAATATTTAAGTCACTTCAGGTGTTTTGTTTTTTTTCAGATTTTTTTAAAATCAGAAATACTTATGGCACCAATTTTAAGTAAATCTGTAAAGAGCCATTATTTAGGAAAATGAAATTTAGCAATAGTTCATGTTAAAACTAAGCCATATTTTGGGGCACCTCGGTGGCTCAGTCGGTTAAATGTACAACTTCGGCTCAGGTCATGATCTCATGGTCCTTGAGTTCGAGCCCCGCGTCGGGCTCTGTGCGGACAGCTCAGAGCCTGGGGCCTGCTTCAGATTCTGTCTCCTTCTCTCTCTGCCCACCCCCCTCACTGCCTGTGTTCTCTCTCTTTCAAAAATAAATAAACTTAAAATAAAACTAAGCCACATTTAGAAATAGCTCATTCACCTCAAAAGACTCTTCAAATTGTGGTAGGTGAAGTCAAGGAGGTGGTGGCAGTTGGAATGTTGTTTGAATTCAAAAAGTCAAGGGATGAGGTTTTCAGAAAAGCTTGTCGAAGATGTGAAACATTTATTTTCCCCTGTTCTATTTAAAACACAAAATTAGGCCACTCGAGCTGTAGCATAAAATTTAACTTAAACTTTACCAGTTAGGTATTTATTATCTATATACAACATACCTTGATCTCCCACAAAACCAGTTTTCTGTTATTTCTTACAGTTTCCAACTACTAGCAATTGCCAAAATTGTACAACATATTTAATCAAAATGTTTTAAATTTGCTTGTCAATGGGAAGGTATTAATAACTGTTATTTTCTAGAATTTTCTTCTCAAAGTCTTGTCCAGAAAAACAAACTGGTTTCCTAATGTTACATAGATAATTGCAGACGTAGTAATTATGATCAAATCATAAATCATATGAAAACTTAGTGTATTATATATTAGCAGTTGAAAGTATGCATGGATTGTAAGTTGAACTGATTCACGTGCGAGATAAAAACAAAGGAAAAGGTTGAAATAGGCGGGAAATTGGGTCATCGTTGTTTGCTTTTATTTTTTTCAGTCTCAATCAGATCCATCATAGGCAGAGAGTTTGCCTCATTTCAGTTCTTGGGACTAAGTTCACCCAGCGGTGGCTCTGGTTTCCAGCTGGCAGTCAAACTAAGGTTTTTACTAACAGGATTTTAAAAGATTGTTTAAAGCTTTACATTATAGATTATTAAAACCAAAAGTATGCAATTATTGGAATATAGAAACAGAAGTGTACTGATGATGATGTCACCACTAAAAACTAGTTTTTGCCTATTTTTCCTGATAGATAGGTGTTGATATACATATTATTATTATCTGGAGTCCGTACAATTTTGTGTCAAGCTTTTCTCTATATCGCTATGGGTTTATGCTCACCTTTATTGTGCGACATTGGAGTTTTTCATATACATCTGAAATAATTTAGTCAACCCTGGTTCTATTGTTGGACACTTTCATGGCTTCTAAAAACCAACTCTGCCCATATTTTGGATGATGAATATGTGTTATAGTGCCAGATCACTGATATTACTGA